AGAAAATATATTTAAGAAAGGCCTATCTGAGTTTACCAATGCAAAAGTAAGAAGTACATAAAGGAAAATATTGACAGATGTGACCCCCCCAAAATCAAAACTTTCTGTAACACAAAGGACAGTGTTAACAATTTTAAAAGTCAAGTGGGGAGAGAGGAAAGGATGTGCGTGTGGTTATAAAAGGCAAGAGGAAGGATCCTTGTACTGATGCGCTGGTGGATTTGCATCAAACTTGGTGCATTGTATCAATGTCAATATCCCATTTGTGATATTGTACTACAGTTTTATAAAATGCCACCAAGGGGGAAGCCAGGTAAAAGGTACAAGGGCTCACTCTGTGTTATTTCTTGTAACCCCACATGAGTCTACAATTATCTCAAAAAAATTTAGTTAATAAAAAGGTCAAGTGTCAGATTGGAGAAAATACTTTCCTCGCATGTAATATCCAAGGTAATAACAGCTAGACTAAATAAAAAGTTCCTAAAAATCAATAAGAAAAACTACATAATGGAAATATACAAATACAAGCAAAAGACACAAGAAAATTATGAAAGCAAAGTAAGTGTCAAAAAAACACGAAAATATACTCAGTGCTGTCAATAATCAGGAGGAAAACAAAGTGCATAAAAATATTTAATCAACCTGGCAAAATTTTAAAATATTGATTATATCAAATCTTGGTGAGAATGGGGGCATTGAGAAAACTCAAGTTGCAGAATAACTTCTACAGTAGGAGAAGAGAGATTGAGGGCACTGGGGTAAAAAATAAGGAAGCACTACCATGTTGATTTATGTATTTACGCAGGTTTGAATAGTTTTAAATGAATTAGTATTTGTGTCCTCCTTGAAGTCCTTCCCTTCACACCCACCCCAGCCTCTACCCCAAAGATTAATGGTGCTGGAACTAGTCCTGGGCCACCAGGTAAACAGTAAGGAAGAGTGAGGTATAGGAGAGAACAAAGAAAACTAACACTTGGATCCTGGAGTCAGTGGCATATTTTATATGAAATTTCAAAATCTAAATTATGAAATTATAATTCCATACTAGTATCCACATAAAGAAGTCTATGTCCTATGAATGAAATTTAAAACATCTGAGTTACGGAATTGTAATTCCAAACCTGGTATCTACGCAAACTCTCTGAGTAAGGAATGCCGGTGTAGAATTACAACCCCACAGATTTTGCAGATGTCAATTTATACTAACCACGTATGGGGTAAAGATGGGCACTGACTCACTTTAAAAGCCTCCATCAGCCTACCATCTTCCATTTGCTCAGTCCTACCACACTCAATCAATATGGGACCTTTGAAAAACGACTCTCAATTTTAATCATCTGTATAACTGTGATTGAAGGTTACTAACAGCCACCAGAGGGAAGGAGAAAACCAATTAACTAAAGATTTTGTTTGGCAGAAATGGACTATTTCAGAGGAAAAAAATACAACTTGGCGGGGACAAAAACTATAAAAGGTTTGAGATGCAGGACTTGGTCTAGAGTTTGAAAAATGACCACAACATAAATTACTAAACAGACATTGTCTACGCCGGCCTTGAAGAAACATCATGTTTTCTGTCATTGGTTCATTTTTATTTTCTTTGATATTCAGCATTCTCAGCCCTTTCTCCTCCATCTTTGTTCCAAAATCTTGATTTTCCTTTGATTTCTTACAAAGTTATTTTTCATGTCATCGTCTTCCCTTTCAGGGAAATTTGCCTAACTTTAACACAACAGATAATTCACCATGATTCTCCCCCTGCACTGCAGATACAACTCACTTTCTGCACACTCCCCTGGGACCTATGCATGAGTCCCTGGCACTCTCCACATGCCACATTCACAGACTCCAACCCCAATTTAACACAGCACACGTTAAATGCAAACTTCTGCCTCATCTGCACTCCGAACTTCTGAGATGACTGTTATCTATCTACATGATTTTTAAAAATATAAGTGAAAACAGGTTGTCTTTAGAATGACGTTGCCAAAGCACATGCCATCACCGCCTGTGTGCTTGAACATCACTCCTAATGAAATGTTCATGACGTTATTGTCATCCTGAAACAAGGCCCTGCCAATGGTCTGATCACTACTGTTAGAGCCTCTGCCCAAAGCAGAATGATAAAGGGTTTTGGTTGCCAAGTTTAAAACTGAGACCAAATAGTCACAAGAACCATATGAAAGTTCAGACTCTGACTCAGTAGTTCCTTTCCTGGGAATCTGTCTTAAGAAAATAATTCAAAATAATAAAACAATCCATCTGCATGAATATGTTTATTTCAACATTATTCATAAATAATATGAAACATTGGGACTAATGCTAGTAGCCAAAAATACAAGAATAGTTATGTAAATTATGATGAATCAATTCAATGGACTATTATAAAACCACTTATTAAGAAATCGTTATGAAATGAGACTTATCAAGTCTATATAGTAACTTGGATAAAGTTTAGGAGCAAATCATAAATGAAAAATGAGAAATTGCACTTAAGAAACACAAGGATGGAATAATAAAAATTAATAATCAATTATGATACGTAAATTCTTTTCTTAAAAATTTTTAAAAATATTGTTTCACTTTTGATTTTATGAAAAACAACATTGGAAGAAAATAAATAATACCAGAAAACTCCTTCTCTAAGGCCAAATAAAAGACTGAAAGCTTTAATTTTCCTATTTCTATGTAGAAAATTAAATTATTTTCAGAACCAGCAGGACTACAACATCTAAGACCAAAGGTGAAAATTACATAGTTTCAAGGTTTGAAACTTGTTGGGGGCAGATGTAGAACCAAACCCAGTGGCTTTAAGGGCAAAAAGTAACCACAAGGAAAAGAAACGGTAAAGGATTTATGTTACAAACTACTTGTTCTTGAAATCAAGATTATGTAAACTTTACTTGATTAGAATTTCAAATGTCAGAAGTCATAAATGGAAGAGGTATCAGAAAAAGATCCATGTTGGACGAGGAGTATTCTTTTAGCCCCAAGAGTTAATGCTTTTCCAGTCCTTTAGTGAAGAGGAATGGGGTGTTAACGTCAGAACCCACTGACTTTTTAGAGGAGAAAACTAAAGTGGCATTACTACCCCCCAGGAGGTGGTACTGCTGCCCCTTCTTGGTACCACCATGGTACTCATATCAGATGTCATGAAACATGTAGCATCCTTGGTACAGAGATTATGTCTCCTCTTCACAATAATCCTTCATAAAATCCCATCCCTGTATTTAAAAGACTTTTCTTGCGATTAAACTATGAAAAATTTTGCTGAAAAATCAAACCAAAAAATCCAATGTAGTCAATGTTCCAAAGGGGAATTGTACACATCTTTGGTCTGATCCATTTTCTTTATTTTGTAATTAACTGCCTAAATGGCTTAAGAAGCTTCTGGCTTCATGAAACAATCTGGAAACAGTGAGAACTTTTTCCCAAAGAATCAGCTGTCAAATTATTCCTCTAATAATGTATTGTTTCCTGATGCTAGCACTGAAATGCCAAGCCACTCCGACAGATAACTGTTTGAAAATCTGTACTCAAAGCTTTTAAATAGCATGAGATATTGGCTTTGGAACCAGCTGTTAAGCAAAAGGGCAGGGCCAGCGGGAGATAGTAATGGAGGTGCCAGGAACAACTCTGCGCCTCCTTTCTGGTACTGGTACATTCATGTTGGCAAAAGGCTTCCCAGAATTTGCACAATAGTAATTATGCTAGATTTTTTTTTCCAAAAAGAAAACAAATTCCATTTCTGTGTAAATTAAAAATTCCCCATGTTGGAATGAAATGAGAAAAAATATAAATCAGAAGAAAGTAGAAAAGATCATCTAAAAGTGTGTTATCAAACATTAAATTTTCTAACTGTGGAAGGGACTTTCTAAATTTCATCTCAAAGGCAAAAAAAAAGGAGTTCTCTGTTAAGTTGGTATGTGGCCTTGGGTCTTAATATCTTGGTCTAAAACTGCACTGTCCAACATGGTAGCTACTGGCCACATGCGGCTACTGTGCAATAGTTCAAATTGATATGTGCCATATGTGTAAAACACACACTGGATTTCAAAGACTTAGTAGGAATAAAAGAATGTAAAATATCTCATTAATATTTCTTGTATTAAAATTGAAATTAGAATATTTTATATATTCCAGACTAAATAATAATATTATTAAAATTAATTTCACCTGTTTTTTTTCCCATACTTTTCTCAATGTGGCTACTAGAAAATTTAAGATCACATAGGTGGTTCATATTTGTGGCTCTCCTTATATTTCTATTGGACAATACTGGTACATAACATGAATCATATGGGGTTAAATTCCTTTAAAAAATCCCTTCTAGCTCTGGGGTTCTGACACTAAGAAACTGCAGCTCAAGCGAATAAATTTTAAATACAAAGTTATTTTACAGAAAACTAGATTCATTCACTATTTCATTATTTCTCCCAGGCCCCTCAGTGCTTTCTCATTCTTGTCCTATGGATCCCTAATAGCCAAGAAAAATGAATGTGTTTATTTATTTATATACTGCAAATACGCAGTTCACGGTGCCATTCTGAATTATTATTTGTTCATATTCCTTTTTGCTTCATACCATACTGATGTCTATTTTTAATGCTCTGTAATGAATAATGAACTCTGGCCCTTTTTTTTTCAGTTGTCAGGTTCATAACACAGGAGTTTTGGAATTAGAGAATCATAGAGATCTCAAAGTCCAGTGGCCCCCAAACATGCTGGTCCCTCTGAATCACCTGGAGAACATATGAAAAATACTAGGTCTGACATGAAACGATCCTACGCTTCCTAAGAAGCTGCCTAGGTCACTCAGAGGCTCACAGGTTCAGGAATAAGTGGCCCAGCCTAACTTACTTCATCTGTAACTGGGGTACAATGAATTGTCCTAGTGCTAAGGCCCAGTGGCCTCAGACCTGGAAGCAGGATGCAGGGTTCCTAACTCCAGCTCACTGCCATTGTTGAGAGATGTTGTGTCGAACACACACGTTACTCACTCCTCAAGAGCTCCAGCTATCAGGATATCTTCCTTGTCAGTTTTAACATCCAACTCTGGCTCTCCACTAAGCAGAAGCTTCAAGTTATAAATAACCAGCAAAGTACCTAGTAGAAAAATAGACGTTCGACTTGTCAGTATTTTAACTACACTAGATATTAGTCATGGTGCTATTATCTCATCTGTGGAATTAAGCCTGCTGTGGACCAAACTTCCTTTTGTACTTCAGTAAATAATATACTTGGATAAGTTCCAAGACATACGTTTTACAAAAAATTCTACTCTCTGCCAAAGAGTGTTGAGTTTCTACAGTATGGTGCTGCTTATTATTACTTAATTCACTATAAGTCTTTCAATGTGGATTCTTAAATTTTGGCACCCTTTTCATAATTTGCATAATGAAAATTGTTAGGTGCCTGAGCCAAATTTGTATTATAGGTAAAGCTCTCACTGGGGGAACCGAAATCAATGCACATAAGAACAAAGAGGAGTTTTAAAAATTTGTACAAATATGAAAGATTGCTTTTAGACCCTATAACAGTTGTTGGCAAACTTCTTCTGTACAGGGTAAGGTAATAAATATTTGAGGTTTTGCAGGCCATATGGTCTCTGCCGCAACTACTCACAACTCAACTCTACCGTTGTAGCAGGACAGCCGCCATAGAGAATACATCAATGAATGAGAGTGGCTGTATTCCAATAAAACTTTATTTACAAAAACAGGTGTGGGGCTGGATTTGACCTGTGGGCCATCATTTGCTGACCCTTGCTCTACAGCACAGTGAACAAACAAGTCCAGATTCTTTACAAAGTTTATCGTGATATGAAGACAAACAGGACCATCAGAGAAATGAAAAAACAATCAATTACACTTTTTTTTGGCAGAACTTAAACACAGGAAGAAGAGCACAGTAGCTAAGAATTGGCCTGGGAGCCTAAATGCCTGTGTCTAAATCCAGGATCAACCATTTACTAGTGCAATGACCTCAGATACATCTCCTAACCTCTCTGAACCTACTTTTTCTAATCTGTACAATGGACTTCATGAGATACTTTTATAAAACAAAGCATTGTCTTGAGGAGTAAGTGAGTTAATTTTTATGAAGCATTTAGAGGAGTATGCAGGAAATAGCACACCCTTCATTAGTATTTATACAAATATTTCACAACTAGAAGTCAACTAAGAGATTACATTAACTGTCCTTAAAGTATATCATGTATATGTTAATAAAATGAATATTTATTTGTCACTACTTTTCCACTATGAGAAAGGGAAAAGGATGATGTAAAACACCACTTTAAACAAAATGCCACAGGTTAGAGAAGAAAATTTGAAGAATTTCACTATAAACATTATATAAATTAAGGAGTTGCAAAAAGCAAAATGCACATGGCGTTCTCCAGAGTAGGGTTGTTTTTGCTTTTAGATATGAAAAGTGGTGGAAGTCTAGAGAAAGACTGGCCCAGAAGCCTGGATTCCTTACTTTATAAGTTGTTAACTCTCTTAGAAATCTGGGATCATCTCATCTGAGAGGCTGCGATAAGCACCTCCAAACTTTGCTCTCTGATGCAGGGAGCATGGAGGCCCTGTGGTCACAGCCTGTACCATCCTCTCTCATCCAATTTCACCAAGCTCATGCAAGTACAAACCTTTCTCCCAGTGTCAGGGACTTAAGAGTCATTCATGTTTGGATTCTCTTAAGACAAGACTTAAATGGATAAAATGAACAACTACTCCATGTGAGATTCCACATGACATTATAAGTAGAAAAAATATGAAAACATATTTATAGTGTTTTTCATGAGACATGGCAAACGAATACTTTCATCAAAATTTCTGAGTTTTGATGATCTTACCACATTTCCCATAGATCACATCAAACTGCTTCATCAATTCAGCTTCAGTTTTAAACGGGGAGTACTTATAAATTATAGACAATTCTGTTGAGAATTTTTGAGGATCATCTGTGACAGATTCTCTGGTTCTTGTTAACCATGAAGGTATTGGAACCACAACCTATAAAAAAAACACACATCATTCTACTATGAAATACACAAATCAACCTTTTGTCTGACCCTAATTCAGTCCATTCTTCATCCAGCCAAACTATATAATACAAAGTCAAAAGTTTATTTCCCCCTGTATTCTGGTTTTATAAGGAAGAGACACATAACAAATACATACCCTCAGACTTTTATTCCAAAATGCTCCACTGTGGATTGTGGGGACAGATGGACCCTATCTCAGCTCCCTATTGAAATATGGGTAGAACGCAGAGGAAACACAGTATCAGCATTTTAGAAGTTGAAAAGTAGATGACAGCTGATCTATGAAAACCAATCCAAAGCCCAAACCAGACAAGAGAAGAACCAGCCTGATCTACAATTCAGAATCCCCTAGAAGGTTCGTAAATTGATGGCATGAATTAATTCTGGAAGTGGGGTAAAAGGAAGAAGAGAGCTAGAGGTAGCATCTAGATCTCCATCTGGCAATAGCTCCTCCCCCACCTCCACAGGGACCGGAAGCTTATTCTCCGGAAAGAGTGGAATAAAGTATTTCTGGGTTAGAGGACAGGCACAGTTGTCGGGGGATCTTACTGAGATGAGAGGGATTAAGTGAAAGTAGGCACAGTGGAGGCTGAGAACCCAGATCTCTTCTCCATTTGGCTCCCAGAAAGCTGGCAGCTAGGCCTGCAGGCAGAAGCCTGAGAAATCTGACCAGCCCAGAAGGAAAGACATAAAGAGAATTACGTTGAGGGCTTGCCAGTAAAACAGACCAGCTAGACCTCATTATTGGTAACACTCACAGCTGCTAAGCTCCACCCACTCTCTCAGGGCTTTCAATCACCATTTTATTGGACTAATGTTTAAATTATTTAGGATCAATTGCCATCTAAGAAAAGCATCTAATGTGATAGTAGAGACCAGATAAACAAGCATAAACACAGCAACTCACTGGAAACAAAAACCATAAGAGGAAGATGAAAATTTGAGGGGGGAAAAATCAATCACTGTTAATATCTTCAGAGTTGTAAGAGGAAATATGGCATCCATGAAAAAAAGAGAACAAAAAAGACTTGTTGGAAATTAAGAATATGATTAGTAAAAATAAAGTCTCTATAAAAGAGGTGGAAGCTAAATGTTAGAAAATCACCCAGAAAACAAAACAGAAATACGAAGGTCAGAAAATAGGAGAGAAAAGATAGGAATATCAAAGAAAGAATTCCAGAAGTCCAAGAGCTAAGAAAGGAGTTGCAAAAGAAGAACAAAGAATACGGATGGAAGAAAACCATCAAATGTTACAGGAAAATATTCCAGAATTGAAGGACATGAGTTTCCAGACTGAAAACATCCAACAAGAGCCCAGCACAATGGATGTAAACAGACCCATTCAAAGGCAAAACATTGAAATCAGAACACTGGGGACAAAGGAGATTCTACTGATTTTCAAAAAGAGGGGGAAAAGTAAAAGAATGGGTCACATACAAGGTTCAGGAATTAAAATGGGTTTGGACTTCTCAGTAATACCAGACATTAGAAGATAACGGAGCAATGCCTTCAAAATTCTGAAGGAAGATGAATTCCAAACAAGAAATAACACCAAGCCAAACTATCGTTAAGTGTGTGAGCAAGCTAAAAAGATCTTCATTCATGTGAGATTTCAAAATATTTTACCTCTTACGCAACTTTGCTAAGAAAGCTACTGGAGATTATGTAACACCAAGAAGAAGGAGCAAGCTACAAAGGAATATACGAGATTTAGGATCTGAGATTTGACACAGAAGAGAAGTGAAGAGATTCGCCAGGATCATGGCAGGGGCAGATCCCAGATGGCAGCTGAACGCCACCCGTGAAAAGCAGGAGGGTGAGCTGCAGCACATGAGAAGACTCTGGAGCAGAATTCTTCAGGAAGGCGGAAATGATAAGAGAGCAGTTTGAGACTGGGAATAACATAATGACAAAGACATAGAAGACCAAGCAAATACTCAGTGACAGTGATAAGTAAATAGAACACTAAGCAGATGATTATTAATTCCAGGGAAAATAAACAGCTGTGCAGGAAAAGGAAAAAATCATAGTTTATGACATGGCATTATTGTGAATAATGTTTATACAGTCTTATAATGCAAATACTAAATATTGGCATAACCAAAATTACAATCAAGCTATGTTGAGGGTAGAGAATTAGAAGGGTGTGTATGTATGATAGGAGCAGAGAAAAAAATAGATGAATCCTCCTCTTTCACAGTGGGAGGTTAATAGATAATGCCCAAATCAAATCAAGAAGCAACAATATAGCACCCCATAGTGATATCAGGAAAACATCAAGAAAACAAGCTAATATTGTTGAAAGAGATTATCTCTGTGGAAGTGGAAAGGGGCAAGGGTTGCCACTTTTAGTTATAAGAAGAAAATAGGAAATGGCCCATTTTAAGAAAACTACAACCTCAGCTTTAGCCCAATTACCCATGCCCTTTACATACATAAAGTGCAACATAAATACTTAAAGCATCACTTTTCCTCATGTCAGAATCCCACTCAGCTAGTCCCTGTTGCCTATAAATTGTTTCTGTTATCCAGGCCCACTCCACTGCTGGCAATGGGATTGCTGAGCTCCTGGTGGACAGTCTCACATCTCCACACTGTCCCTCCAAACCCCACACTCATCTCCAGGTTGGAGACTCGCTGCATGCCACTGCTCTCCACATACCAACCTTTCCAGCTGCAAGTTGTACTCTCTCCATAAAACCCTCATTGACCACTTAAGGCTCTCTAATCTCTCCATCCACATCATTGCTCTTGACAATTTTATAAGAGCAGGAACACATAGCCATTGAACAGCACTCTTTTTAAACAACTTCATTTTGTTATTTATCCAATTCATATACGTCTGTCTTATTTTGTGACAAGGCTGAAGACAGTTTGATGGTCAGATGGTCTTCTCCGTGTTTTCTGCCTTCCACAGGGTCTGTCCACGCCAGGCAGAGAGCAGTTCCTCATCTGTAATTGCTGTATTGAATTATAACCGATGTTCATAATACTATAACTTAGATACTGCAAATTAATAAAATGTTTTGGGTCATCAAATGAATTGGAATTATAGTCACTAGAGTTATAGTTTTAAGTTTAAGTCTATTTCACCTACAATTTCTTTATATTTTGTGTCCCAAGTCTTTGAATACAATATTCTATTTATTTTTAAAATGATAATCCAGAGTGACATTAGCATCATGGCAGAGTGAGTTGTTCCCTTTGTTTCTCTCCTCTAAGTTACAACTAGACAGAGATTCATTAACCAACACAGGATTCCCTTCATAGCACAATAGGATGCCTGAGAGATCCATACAGTCATACACCTGAAGGTGGCTGGACTGAATCCCTGGGAAGCAGTGGAACTGGGTGAGTGCAGCCCTCCTCCTCCCTGGTGACGGCAATCCAGGTCTCGGGTCCTCACAGACAGCCAGTGAGACTATAAGAGAAGGTAGGGGCAGCCCGGCCTGCAAACGAATGCTTTCGGAGTGGTGGCCTGGCCCGCAGGACTGCCCACCATGCCTCAGCAGCCCCGCTGGTGGAAATGCTCCCCACGGAGTGGTGGCAGATCACCCCCAGTGAGGGAGCCTCGCCCACCAAACGCAGCAGCTCAGCCAAGCTGCCCACAAGTGCAGAGTCGGCCTATGTGTGAAAAAAAGTGCCCCTCCCCTCCTGCCTAGTGCAGCAGCTCAGTTGGTACCCTGCCAAGAGCAGCAGTCTCACCTGCATGAGAGTGACCGGCCAGTGGAGCACAAAGGCCCCACCTGCACATGTGTGCACAACCCACCATGCAACTGCATGCCACCAAGCAACTGTGGCCAGGCCACACAAAGGTAGAGCAGTCCTACCAGCACAACTTCCAGCAAAGGAGTGGGACCAGAGAACACAGCTCCTGCCTCCCACCTCAGCAGTGGCAGGTGGAATCTGCAACCTGATACTACCACAAGTGTGCCAGCAAAGGATCAATTCACCAAACACCATGAAGAACTACAGTAACACTCCAGAGCAGAAAGAAAATGACAATCCTGAAGTCACAGAAATTTACAACCTAAATGACAGAGAATTCAAAATAGTTATAAAGAGAGTCAATGAGTTACAAGAAAACTCAGAAAGACAGTTTAATGAGCTCAGGAATAAAATTAATGAGCAGAAGGAATACTCACCAAAGAGACTGAAGCCCTTAAAAAAAACTATACAGAAATTCTGGATATGAAAAACACAACTAATGAGTGAAAAAATAATCTGAAAATCATAAGAAACAGAGCTGACCTTATGGAGGAGAGAATAAGTGACCAGAAGATAAAAATCTAGAAATACTTCAGGTGAAGGAGAAGAGAGAACTAAGATCTTTAAAAAATGAAGAAATTCTTCAAGAAATATCTGACTCAATTAAGAAACACAACATAAGGATTACAGGTATTCCAGAGGGAGAAGACAGGCAGAGAGGAGCAGAGAGCTTGTTCAAAGACATAATACCTGAGGACTTCCCAAATCGGGGTAAGAAATTAGATTTACAAGTACATGAAGCCAATAGAACTCCTAAATACATCAATGCAAAAAGACCTTCTCCAAGGCATATAATAGAAAACCTGGCAAAAGTCAATGACAAAGAAAAAATATTAAGGGCCACAAGACAGAAGAAAATAACCTACAAAGGAAACCCTATCAGGCTTTCAACAGATTCCTCAGTAGAAACCTTAGAGGCTGGGAGAGAATGGAATGATATGTTCAAAATACTGAAAGACAAAAACTTTCAGCCAAGAATATGCTATCCAGCAAAAGTATCCTTCAGATACGATGGAGAAATAAAAGCTTTCCAGGATAAACAAAAGCTGAGGACGTAACTGCCCCTAGGCCTGCCTTACAAGAAACATTGAAAGGAGCCTTCCCATCTGAAACGAAAAAGCAAAGGTTTACAAAACCTTGAGCAAGGAGAAAAACAAACAGATAGAATCAGAAAACTGCAGCTCTATATCAGAATGGGTT